TGCAATTAATTTAAGTCGTTTTTTGAAACGTAAAATGTCCCCCTCCCCGCATTTATCACTAAAATTATTGCTTGTTTATGCCTTAAGGAGACGGTATTCCTGTTACAATATTATACTGCGAAAATGATATAAAATTGATGATTTTATAATGCCTTTGATGTATATGCCTACGTATGTCACAATTCAATTAATAAAAATTATGTGAAAGATCTCATTGAACCACACAGAAAAGCTGAAAAAAATTCGTAATTAATTAATAATACATTTTGATAACATTAAAAATTAATGAAAACGTTGCAGTCTATTTAATTTATCTAAAATTGATAAGAAAGATACATTTAATTCAAGTTTCAGTTCCTTGGAACCGTGTTCAAGTTTCTTTCAAGTTGCCGCTGCTGCAATAATTTTATTTATTTTTTTTACTTATCATTATGCATTTTTTTGAGTAACCACGAACAAGGACCTTATATAAGGCAATCAGATATGATAGCATACCTGTGTTTAAACAGATATTTACAAACAATACATAGATGTCACAACCATCACGAATAATTCGCTATTTACGATTCCGGCTAGGCGGTTACATTTTGAATTTTAAGTCTGTCACCACTACTTAAATTAGGTTATGGGGTGAATTATTTTCTATCTTAGATAAGCTTGCCATCAGGGCAAAAACCTTAAGAGGCCCTAATTTTTGAGCTCGTACCAGATCGAGCAGTCGTATAAGGAGATTAGCGGTTTCCAAATGACGTTGAGAACCCTGATGTTCCGTGGAAGGGTCACAAGGGTACAGATAATGTTTCACTCTCTTTTGTCTTCATTTCATACGTTTCATCTATCTTACTTTAACCATCAGCCACCCGTTTAAAAGGAGAATCTGCCACCCTACCTTTCTACAGTCCGAAGGGACTGCCCGCCCACCAGTATTAGTAGCTGCTGGGAATAGAATATACATTTGTAGTACACAAAACAAACTATCAAACCTGGTAATACTTCCAAATACTTTCAAAACAATGTCAGATACTTGATTTTCGCCTTCAGTTCCGCGACGACTCTCCGATACCCATGAATGAACTGCCAGAGTTGACAATTAGGTGAAGTTTGGCCCAGCGTTGGGTTGCTCAACTTTGGCTGAATGGAGTTCATTCTAGGTTGGACTAAGTTAGGCGTACAATTGATCTACCAACAATAGGTAGTTTTCTCTGCTCCAAACCTGGACCAAAGTTGGCTATATTACCTTCGGTTGATTAATTCTGGGTCAGCTTTTGGGTCAATCTACATTGACTGGGAACTTATTTTCTATTTAAATTTAAATAAAAGGATATCTAGAATGATTAAANCGCCGTACCGTGACTTGTTTATTCACATGCGCGGGTGTCAATTGGTGAACATTTAGTTTGATCCTTTTCTTTTAGTCAAGTGTTTTTTTTTTATAAGATGATGACTTATTGTAACTGCCTGATTGACTTTCAGCTTCACAGCCATAAATAATTGCGTCAGTGGATTCACTTCTTCAGTCCCATTACCCAACCTTTTCGGCCTTGGAAAGAGTTTAAATAAGTGAGTTGACTTAAGCTTTCAATTATTGGGTGTGTTCTTTGATATCCCAATGTTTACATACAATTAATAATTGATTGATTCCTTTAGTATCATTTGATGTGAGATATGATTACAAAGATTCTGGTATGAAAGGGAAGAAAAAGTAGGGAAAGAGCGAATATAAAGGTAGGAGACCAAAAATTAGAAGAAGTGGCTGATTTTAGGTATCTAGGAAGTCAGATAAGTCAGGACGAAAGGAGTAGTAGAGATATAAAGCAGAGGATAACGCAGGGTCGAATAGCCTTTAATAAAAACAATTCTATGCTCGCGAACGATTAATTTAGAAATTCGAAAAAGGTTGTTAAAGATGTACCTATGTTTGGAACACGGCGCTATTGGGATGCGAAATATGGACAGTGGGCGCGACGGAAAAGAAAAGGTTAGAAGTGTTCGAAATGTGGTGTTACAGGCGAATGATGAGGATACCGTAGATAGAGAAGGTTAGAAATGAAGAGGTATTAGAAAGAGTAAGAGAACAAAGGGCTCTATGGAGGTCATTAAGAAATAGGCGACATAGGTTAGTAGGACACCTTTTCAGGCATGAAGGTTTAGTCAGAGACATATAGATTACTGTTCGCAAATAGTTAAGGATTTGGGTTGTTCTAGTTTTAGGGAAATGTGAAGATTAGCTCAGGATAGGAAAGAGTGGTGGTGGTGCGTGTCCAACCAGTCTTAGTACTGACGACCTTATGATGATGAAAGAGACATTAATAGTACTGTTCAAATAATTGATTTTGAAGGAAAAAGAGAAATTATTTTAACAATCTGCATTATATTATTTTTTATAAAGAACCTGGATTGGAAAATGATTCACTAATAGGCTAACCCTGGCACATCTTAATTCAACTTTGATCCAGAGCTCATGACTGGCAAGCCAATTGTGACCCACACCTAATCCAACCGTACTTTCCTACATGGGTAGGAGTGTTACGTCATCTTCCAAAGGTTTCTATCATTACTACTACCCATATCTACTTATTTTTTTTTTATTTCGAATACATATTTGAAAATTTGTTGCACCCGGCAAGTGGATCTCGGAATTTTTTGTTTTTGCTTCGAAGATAACTCAAAACGTAAGAAATGCTCATCGCTATACAATGGCGCGGATTTTTTTGATCCGATTGAGATCCGTAACTTGCCATTCAAAACTTTAGGAGACAGCCGGTTAATTTGACTATTTTAAAGATCCGACTTAGTAAACCAGACCAGATTTGATCCTGACAGCACTACTATGCCTGCTTTGCAGGTAGCCTGAACTTATTAAGGATTTAAAAGCTTCTACGTGCTACGCATAATTTCCAAATGCATTTTCTCTGTGTTAAAATTTTACCTTCCACAGCAAATCTCTATGTTGAATCAACCAATGTCAAACTTCATGTTTCTTACATATAAACAAAATCGTACAAAAACTTAATGGCTTGAGTTACTTTAAAGAAAATTTAATCACCACAATTACAATTTTATTAAACTTTTTTGTATGTATGTACAATTACATAATAATTAATAAAAGAACTGAATGTGGGACCTACTGTTTGTGACAAATAAAAATATTTTAATATGCACGCTTTTATGTAATACTTACTATAAACAAAGTTAATGTCAACACTGCTTTTAGAAATACCTAAGTAGAGTTGAAAAGGCAATTTAATAAAATTGGCTACAACATAGATGCTAGGTGCTCGTTATTTAGAATCAAAAACATCTTACATCATACTTTTAAACTTTCTTATTTCATATAGATTGAACTTTTGTTACACCTGTTGCACCTTTAACAGAAAGAGACGTGTTTCAGAGTAAATAGGATACGTACAATAGTTCTATTACTCTGTAAGATGTTTTCATTGTAGACTTGTTTTGTTTCACATTTCTTGATCGAAATATATCTTGTCATACCAAGGCTTTCTGTTTGGAGATCTTGTTACTTATTTGATGCAGCATTGTCTAACTCGTAACCAGCATAATAAATCGAACAATCGAGCAGGCAGCTCCGACAGAACACAGATCAACCTTTACCTGCTGCCTGCGACGCGCTGATGAGATCCAAAAAGATCGAAATCGCAATCCGC